GTTGAATTGTTGTTGAATTGTTGTAAATTTAAAATTTAGGGAATCCTTCTTCTTTTTATAAAAGGTTGCATAAGTACTTTTCCCATAATTGCTTTTTTAGTTAACACAATTTTACCATCTCTTCAATAACTCTAAGCATCTGGTAATTGTTGAATAAATTGTTGTATTCTTATTTTACCAACAGTTATTAATTATTTTTTCTTCCAAGTAACTTTCAATTGTACATATTGCAAAGTTCAATTTCGCTAGAATGGCAATTGTTGAATTGTTGTTGTTGTTTTTATTTGCTATTGCATGTAAATTACGATTGCAGACTGTTGTCGTCTAGGCTTTTGGTATCAACAACAAACACCCAGAGCGAGTCTCTAGAGGCACCTCCTCCAAGCTTCTGGGTCAATAATCTGCGTCTGAGCTGCGACGTGGAGTTCGGTTCTGGGTACTGGGTTCTGGGCTATAGTCATAGCTATGTATATAGCTATATAGATGGACTGTTGATTGCCGCGCATGTCAATCAATGGAGATCCAATTTTAGCACAAGTAAACAATATTCGCTCGATCGCTCCTGGGCCGCCCCCTCGTCGCCTTGAGGGGGTGTGGGGGGGGGGGGGATTGGGGCGACAAGTGGGCAGATTTGTGGCGCCTCCCACAGGCCGCTTATCTGGGTGCTCTGGCTAGAGGAAAAAACCAAGAGCCTGCTTTTGTTTTTCCCAAGCGATGATGACTTGTCATTGTTTAAAAATCGATTAGTCATCGATATATATCAAAAAAGGGTAGGTTTTTTATTTTCAATATGGATAAATTTAATTATATTTACCTTCCTTTAAAATTTTATAATATCACATATCATTTTTGTTTATATCAGATAACACATTTGCCAGCTGCCTTTACCTATCGATTCCTTCATCCATCGGTTATCGATCCCATTCGATTCGTTTCGATTCTTTGACCCTGACGTAGCTTGCCTCCCGTGTGGGACTTCCCACCTTGGACTCTGGACCGCATTGCGTATTGCTCATGGCGCCGAGCTTCCTTCGCTACATCACCTCCTATCGCCAGAGGCACTTTGTCCAACCATCCAACCAACAACAATCTGCCCCTGTCTGCGCGCTCGCCTTCTCGACTTCTTGGTCTCTCCCAAAACAACAGATGTCAAAAGCACACAGGGGAAAAACTAGCATCTAGAAAGTAGATTCATTATTTTGCACCATTAAAAGCTATAAAATCGGATTCTTGAATATATTATATATTGAATTTAACTTTAAGCCTCGATTTATAATGTTAAACCTTAGACTTGTCTTTATATATAAGATTCTTCTGGGTTTTATCTCGTTATAAGTGTATCTGTGGTTATCAAGGATATATTTTATCGATATCCTGTATTATTTAATCGATATTTGCCATAGATTCAAAGGAAATTAAAAGCTTAATATTAGGCCTTTAAAATTAGATTCTAAATATATATTTTATATTGAATTTAACTTGAAGCCTAGATTTATAATGTTCTTCTAAAGTATTATCATATTTAATGGATATCGACTTAATCGATATTTAGGATAATATCATAAATTTAAAGGGTATGTCGGTCTTGAGGCCAAAATTCAAGATTTTGTTTATGGTAGATATCTCTTATTATTGTTTATTATTATTCTCAGTACAAGCCTTGGCTTATCTCGAACGATGACTTAGAGCCCACACGGCCTCTCCCTCTCCCTCTCTCTCTATCTCTGTCTCCTTCTCTACATTTGCATCTCTCTCTCTCTCTGTTGTTTTCCTCAGAAAAAGAGAGAGATTAATGCTAAAAATAGGGATCTTTTATTTTGAATCGAAACTAGATCACGTCGAATTCACGTTGTCGTTGTTTACGGTTTTTTCACTGACGGACAAACGGACAGACGGACAGACGGACAGCGTAACGCCCCCGTCTCCGGAGCTGTGTCAGCTGGGCTGTCGTCCCATTGGCTTCCGTTCTTCATCGGCTGCAGTCTCCGTCTCCGTCGTCGTCGCCGTCGCAGTCGCAGTCACGGCAGCGCCAGCGTTGGCAGCAACAAAAACATCAACAAGCTTATCGCGTCGGACATTATCTGTAAGCCAAGCCCAAGACCCCGGAGCGTGTCCGTATGTAGGGTATATCTCTGGGCGTATATACACATATAAATTCATGAGCTACATGTATAGCTACAGTTTTGTTTTCAAAAACTCACCTCGAAATCTTCATTCGAAATCTCCATAGACCCTCTTATCAGGAGGCATATCTCTAACTCATTCTTAAAATATCATTGCCTACTTATAGTAATCATTTCGAAATTTATATGCAACCCCAAAAATAAATTACTCATTGAAGTATCGATTTAAAGAAACAAATTTTCACGTAAATTCAACTAATCGTTGGTGAAATTTACTGTTGGTGACAGTAAGCTAGCTTAAGTACTTGATTTATATACTCATCTGTAATATAATTTCTGATAGTTTGATAGCATATTTATAATAGTTTATTTCCTTAATATACTATATATACTAATACTAATATTTTACTATTCATTTCAGTTGAATGCCATATAAGCCATAAGTTTATTTTTGTTGTTACATCATTTTTAAAAACTTTAAAATCATTGTGTTTGTGGTTCAACAATCAGTACAGTATTTCATTCATACTCTTGCAGGTTTTTGCTTTACTATTAAGGTGGAGAGTTACTATTTTCGCAGTAAAAACTTACTATTATCGTAGTAGCACAAAAATAGGTGACAACAATAAAAATTCATAAAAATATCTTTTCATAATAATGAAACTATAACAAACAAATACCAATACATTAGAAACACATTGCGTGTCTGCCAATAATTAACAAAAAAAAATTGATCTAACGGGTTATTTCAATTAAACAATTGCAATTAATTTAACAATAATCAATTATAATTGTTAAATTGAGGGCAAGTGACCACGGAAATATATGTGTGCTAGAATCCACGGAGTATACATATATGGGTTTTGAAGCGATCCGAAAGCTGAACTTTGTCGTTACCGTTAATATGTGAAAATGACAAATCAACAAGTGCATATAGAGCGTGGATGCCCGCTTTGCCACTGATGGATTTACTCTAGTTGCTGCTCGTATTTGTTGCTATTGCTAGTATTATTATTATTAATATTATTAGTGTTGTTGTTGTTGTTGTTGTTGGTGATGTTTGTGGTGTTGGTATTATTGTAATTGATTTCGTTGGTGTGTGCTGCGACACGCAGCTAACACACACGAACGTGACCAGCTGTTTGTGTGTACCTTTGCTCAAAGGCGATCTTATTAATCTGATTATTCCCATTGTATGGTTTTTACTATACAGTTCGACTTTCCTAACTGAGAACATTGTAATCGAAAAAAAAAAAAAAATAGAAAAATAAGTAAAATTTTTTTTTATTGGTGAAGAATTTTATTGTAATAGATTTGTAATAGATTTTTATTGTAATAGATAGATAGATAGATAGATCTAAAAGATTAAAAATATATTAAGTTTTGTGTGGCCTTTTAAGAAATATATATCTCAAGACGAGATAGATGCAATCTAGATTTTAAATTTGGATCACTTTGTGATCTTAAAGATCTTCAAGTTGTAGAATTGTGAGAAAGATGATTGCAAAGAGAGGATGAGGTACGGTGCCGTTATAGACGCGCTGGCCTGTATTAACACACCCGCAAACACTCGGCCCCACAGTGACCCAAAGTTGATTGAATGTGTCATGGCCGGCAAATTGTTTAATTTTAAGCATTTGTTTGCGTTTGCGTTTATGTTTTTTACGTTTTCCTTTTTCGCAAGACACTGGCTGGACTTTGCTTCGCCCGCTGTCTCACAGGCAGTACCCGTCCCATTCGCTCTCGCTTTACCTGCAGTCCACGTGCTGGCCACTCGCTCGCACACACACACACACACACACGCATCCACTCAGCTGCAGTGTGGCATACACCCACACAGGCACAGTGAGGCGAACTGGTGCACTCGCTTCCACTCGCATGGGGGCGCATTGGCGCCGACTCACTCGCACGCTCGCATTAACACTAAAGCGCCGCTTTGGGGCTTCAAGTTGCGCTGGCGTCGCGGCAACGGTTCTTTTTTCGTTTGGCTGTGAAGCAACGAAGAACGTTCTGCCGAGTGAAGAAAAAGAATTCACAAATCGCGAATCGCTTAATTCGCTAATACCCCAAGTGTAGAGCAAGAAAGGGGGAGATAACAGCAACAACAACAACAAGAACAAGAACGTCAGCAACAGCGGGAGCAACAGACGTTTTTCTAATTATAGACCCCACTGGTTTCTAAAAATAAGCACACCCACAAACACAGGCTCGCGGTGGGGTTGGGGGAGGCTTGAAGAAGAGAGTCGTTACAAATAACGGCAAATCTGCTCTCGCAGCGGCAGCAACAACAACAAGGACGAACCGAGCAAGCGCAGCGTTAGCGCCAGCGGAATGAGAGCAGAGCACAGCAGCGGTGAAAGAAAAACGAGTGGGGTTGAGAGTGTGTGGGGGAGCTAGAGTGAGAGCGACAGCGAGAGCGTGAGATCTCGGCAAGAGATAATCGAGACTCTGCAAAGAAGCGGCAGCTTTACGTTCCAGCTTCCAGCGTCCAGCTGCCCAAAAGCGTTTCCAATTCCAAGCCAGTCGCAACGTCGGCGGAATACCGCCATTTAAGAAGAAACACGTCGTAGTCACTGACTCTCACCTCCTGCGGCCACTCCTCTGCTCCTGCCCACAACACGTCGCGCGATGCACCAACAAGCAACGGCCGCAGCAGCAGAAAACGCAGCAGCAGCCACAGCAGCCGGAAACGCAGTAGCAGCAGCCGGAAACGGAGCCGACGTTCGCCGCCAGCAATCGTTTATCGATAGCGAAAGGACTCTAATTGATCTGTAATCGCGACTTGCGTTTTTTTTTGTGCACGAAAAAATTAAATTTCCTTAAATAAATAACTGAAAATCCCACTCACAAAAAAAGGAGAAACTAGTTATCCCTTAACTCACAAAAAAAAAACAAAAAACAAAAAAAAAAAAACAGAAACATAATTTAAACCAAAAACAAACCCGCGTATTTTAAGTCGTTTTGTTTTGTTTTTCGTCAATTGATTGTGATTTTGAAACTGTGTGATCGCAAAAGAAAATCTGCAAATTATTAAAAAAGAAAGTTCCTTAAGCAAGTGATAATCCGATAGAACCCTACAGACGGAAACTAGAAAAGAGGAGCGCACAAAACTAGATATATCCTACACAGACACACACTGCATAAAACTAAATATACAAGCACTATAAACGCTATATAACCCACGTATATCAAAGCCTTGATCCCGCACACCTCGAGGACTTCTATATCTTCTATCTTCTATAAAAGCACAGAGAAAACAGTATGCCAATGTAAGTACTTAAATTATGAATTCTTAAATTTACTAAGTCTTATATTTAGTATTTCGTATATTCCATTTTAAAAGGAAAAACTAAGTTTAATATAAAGCCCCTTAAAGTATACTCACAAAAATATTACATTAACTCAAGAAATACTCAAAGATTCAAAAATAAGTTCATGGTAAGCAATGCCTTATCAGGTTTGTTTTTCAATTTAACAAAAACATAAAAGCAAAAGCCATACGCATTATGAAAGTCTTCCGCATAAACAAACCCTCAAAAAAACACAAGGATTCAAGAGTAAGGAATATGAGTTAGGTTCCTCTTATGAGTATTTTGAATATTTTTAACTCGGTCTTGACTCGATCTTTAATTTGATCTTTATAGTAAGAGTAAATAGAGTAAAGTCCTTCGAAATGCAAGGATTCACGACACAGAAAAATGGGTTAAGTAACTCTATAACTCTTAACTTGATCTTAGCTTGATCTTTAATTTGATTTTAATCAAATTCACCAGAGAGAAACTAACTGAATTCCAATAGACAGTGGTATTCAAAGTCTATAAATAGAGCCATTCGATATACACACTTACCCCGTCTCAGTCAGCGAAAGTGGAAAAACATTGAACCACATACTATATATAGAGTGTGGCTGGAAACCGAGTCTCCTAACGAGAAGAGGCGACTCATAAAGCCAAACAATAACAACAAAAACAAAGCCACATGGGGCACACACTCCTCCACCGACGACTTCTGATTGTGAGTGTGTATAAAAAGAACTCATGTTCCAAATGATAAGAACGGAGCAGCAAGCAGCAAGCAGCGGATTTATTTTTAAACACATCTGAAGTTTATGTAAATATTTCCTGGCCCAGCCCCGGGCCCAGTCGCAGACGCAAACAAAAACAGAATCGAATGGCATCTGGGAATGGAAAATACAATAATATTTGACGCTGATAACAGCCCCCCAGACAAAGTCGAGTGTGTGTGTGCAAGGCGGAAGAGAGAGGTCTTACTGAAAGGGGATGGAGTTATTATCATCTAGGTTTTCGAGAAACACAATTTTTACTAAAAAGTTATTCTCATAGGTGAGATATACACAAGTCACAGGCTTTGCAGGGGTTGTGATTAAAGGTTAAGACTCAAGTTTAAGATTAAGTTTTAAGATTATAAGAGATTTAAAACATTGTAAGGGACATTTACATAAATTAAAATAAGTTAAATTCCGATCGTAAGATCTTTAATTGTAGGTGTAATATATACATAAAAATATCACTTCATTTCATATCGAAAATATCGTAAACTTGTATATATCGAATTTTTAAAAATATCGCATTATAAATTATAAAATTGATATCATCGAGAAATAACTGGAAAATATCATTTAATTTAAGTGTATCTGTTTCATTAGTTGATAGATTTATCGTAACGATAAATTATCAATACAATATCTATCGATATATTGATATTTTTGCCTCAGAAGTGCTGTTTTATCTTAAAGCTCACGAAAAAAAAACTAAAAAAAAATTAATTAAAATGTTAGTTAAAATTTAATAGTTATAAAGCTAAAAATTATTAAACATACCTCGAATAAAATCCGTGTTTAATCCTTTTCTGATCTCTCTGAATAATTTTAGATGATTCCCGCGGTGCCAACGTCCAGACTCCTGCTCCTACTGACCACCATCATTGCCGTTTTAGCTCTGATGGGCAGCTGCTGGGTACCCCAAGTGGGAGCCATTCCAGTGACCAGTCCTGATGCTGACGATCAGGAAGCACGACACATATGCTCTACCAACTTGGGCGACCTCATTCAGCAGATGTGCGAGGGCAGAACTAATTCCTACAGAGATTTATATCGTGAGTGGTGATGTTTTTTTCGTCTTAACTTAATTACTGATATTATTTCTGTATTTATATCCAACAGCCAATAGTTTTGGGAAGCGCAGGAAGCGGGAATCGCTTGAAATCGCCGATCGGTGCTGCAAGAGTTCCTGCAATTACAGAGAGATATTGCAATTTTGTGCGCAATAGGAAATATATATATACAGATCTATATATATATACACATACATTCTTCAGATGGGGCCTTCATATAACTCCCCAGCCTCCGCAGCACCCATTCCACTCCACACGAGCTCTCAGTCATCATTCGTAACCTTTAAGAAAAAGAAATATAAAAAGCCAGAGCAAGAGCAGAAAGCCGTAGCAGCAGCAGCAGTCTCCCATTAGAGTTATATTAACTATATGTTACTAATTTAAACTATGCACTAACTCAATTCTGTACAATAAAAACAAATTTTAAATGAGTGATGTACATATACCTAAAACGTAAGTCCAAATTTGTAATTAGGGTTGCACAAATTTCAAAAGAAGGAGTACTACGTTATGATAAACCCACAAAAATATTATAAACAACATTTTTGATATAAAAAAAATAGCAAATTTAATTTAATATCAAAATTCAATGTTTTATCATTTTTTGTACTAGTAAAAATATGATTTACCCATAAGCATATAGTAAACTTTTATTTTTTTATATTTTGGATACTTGAAAAATAAGTTTTCTACTTTTTTTTTTTTGCCTCAATTTTCGATTATATTGTTCCGATTAAATGATCGATAATTAATTGTTTAATTTTTGTGCAAATAGCGCTACATTATCCATATATCTGTAAAATATTTATGGAGGAGGACCAAGGTCACTTGATTTCTCAATTATATTTTATTGATGTGATTTTTTAAACATTAAAATATCGATAATCAATTATTAAACTTCAAATATCGGTACATTCTTGATATATCTCTTATTTTGTGCCATCCCTTAGATAAATATCTATTGCAAAATGCTAATTCCTTGTGTTCAGTTTAATAATGAAACCCAATTCTGTTGAATCAGGCAAGGCCACTTGAGTTCCCAATTGGATAAGGCCTTGTAGCAGTGGCTTTCACATTTTATTAACTTGAACTTTCACTGGGCTCAGCCCATTTCAATTTCCGCTGGCGAGACAAACCCTCTCGTTTTCTTGTACCCCGTTTCATTATCCCTGATCCCTCCACTATATACATACATATATTGTACACAAAGCGAAATCTATGCGGAATGACCAAACACAACAGAAGAAGATTGTCACAGGGACTTGGGTTAGGGTTTGGGTTACTCTCCATACAATATGCATGGCATTCCTGGCCGAGCAGCCACCCCATTTAAATTGAAGTGCCCGGCGTAAAAGTTTTTGAAAAGGACACACACGCTGGAGGGAGGGTCAGCGATGACGCCGAAATGACTGCAAATTAGATTACAAACGCTGACGATGATGATTTTAATGATGGTGCAAATCAGCCACACATGGGAGTATCCCTCGAGTATCCCTTAACCCCATTTCCACCAACTTACCCTTCGCTTTACACGCTTCAAATCTCCATGAGACACGCACTTTGCTTTATTTTAATTTCGAAAAAAAAGAGATAAATCGAAAAACTGGCTCTATTGGTCACTTTTAATCAGGTTCATTCATTTCCCCTAATGTTTACCCTTACTTAAACTGGTCTTGATATGATAATTCCACATAATTATAACTATGCCATAGTGATAAAATCGATATATACATATATATAAATTATATAATCGGTAAAAGAGGCAAATAATTAAAATAACATTTTCCGAATTGTTTTCGATAATATGAATCAATATTTTAAAAGTAAATACGATTATAGCCATATTCAAAATTTTTATCTAAAAGTTTTAACAATTTTCGATACAAAACGTGCGATAAATGTGTGATAAATATTTATGTGTGCAATAAATCGATATTCTATTTTATATATCGGACCAATAGCGATATTTTATTTTCAAATGCCATACAGTTAGATGTTTTATTAACCAAAATAAAATTAAAGCAAATACCGAAATTTTCGATATATGTATTAAATATTAAACGCGATATCATTATCGATATATCATATCATATGCATGCCTTGAAACGATTTCGATCAAACCTTATTATATTTATTTCTTATTATTACCAATATTATTTATTTATCATATGCTTTATAGACAACTGTCTGAATATTTCAGAGCTAACCATATTTAAAGAATGCCATTGTCCATCGATGTATACTAACATAGGGGCAGATATTTGATACTTGGAAATTACAACGGATACTTGGAAAGCTGGCAAACTTCAAGTGATCAATATGCGACAACTGGCAAAGGACGACTGTTCCACCTTCTCCTCATCGTCCTCCGCCCCCCCGAATGGACACTCAACGGACACGTGTGGAAGAGGCGAAGGAGGCGGAGGTGGATGACAACGTCTGGGCCCTAACGGAAAAGGGACACGAAGGGAAGGACAAAAACGACACCAGACAAACTTCAACAGCTTTGGGTTTGGAGTTTCCGGGTTCACCATACCATATTCCACATTCTCATCTTCCACCCCGTTGCCATTTCTCATCCCCATCCCCATCCCCATTCCCACTCCCACTCTCTCTCCTTCACATCACCACGACATTGATGGAGCGAAGCCATGGAACATTAGCTAAATCTTACAGAAAATTTCGCACTACATAGAGGAAGTTGAAGCTTACTATCAACGCAAGGACACTCCATCCACCAGTTCATGGGGTTGCAACAGTCCTTACAGAGACGAAAACATTACAAGCAATTATTATAAATATTTTAAAAATTTATTGAGTGAATCTGGGTTGATTTTATAAACTGGTTTAATTTATGCACTTTAAAATCTGGAGTTTTTGACCTTGAGGGGCAAAAAACATTAGTCCTTGGTGGTTAAAGCCACATAATAACATTTTAAAATGTACAAATCTTCAGAATTCTCACAGTTAAATATTATTAATATATATGTATATAAAATTAAATATATTCATTGAATATAAATTAAATACATTAATATATACATATATTCCTAGGAATGTACATAAATTGGAAGGAAAAGTTTGATAAATAAATTGTATACTTCGTATACCTTAATGTAATATTTGATTTCGATAAATATTTTATTTAGGTTTAAAATATCGGTTTTTTTTAAATATATATATATATATAATTTTATTATTATTATTTATTAATTCCTTCCAGTTTAATATATAGTCATTTTATATATTGAACAAAACTTAGATGTTATCGATAAATAATCCCTAAATTGTATTTAATTTATTCTTCTTCCTTTTTCGATTATATTGGTTCGATATATTAAACGGAATATTTTTTAATGACTACGCATATTTAATCTTGTAGAATCTGTTCGTAAATAAAATATAAATATTTACTTAAAGCACCAAAATCACTATAATTTTCCACTGTGTAATGCCTGTTGTAGTCTCAACACAGAAGTCGTACAAGGACTTGGTTCAACCCCCGAAGGAGACCCCGAAAACGGAAAAGTACAGGAAAATCCCAGTCATCGCAGACCTTAGTTTGGCTCAAGGAAACGCCTATTTGCTGGCCAAGGATGCCAAGGACCCAGGATAAAAAAATAAAAAATAATCCATTAGAACTTAATATGACATCAAATACAAATATAAACAAAAAATAAATAAATAAAATATAAATTTAAGACCGAAAAAAACGCATGAATTTATTTAGAATTTTTTTTGTTTTAGGTAAAAGGACTGCTCCCCCCACACTACTACCTACTTTTGCTCCTGCGACATAAAGTTCCAGGGGATGCACACAATGCCATCGGTGGGCACTGACCAATAGTTGGTGATATGGAGACTGAGGCCACGACAGGACTTGACGCCACTCTTAAGGAGATGCTGCAGGGCCAGGACCATCTTGTCCGGCGTCACCGAATCATCCTTGCTGAGTCGCTGCAGGCCGAGCTCATCCTGGCACTGTTGCCACAATTTACGCTCCACCTCGATATCCTGGCGATAGCGACTGACCCTACCGCTGGCCACATCCAAATTCCGGCAGATGAACGCCACAAGATCGGAGCCCGGACAGGAGGCGGGTGCCAGGAACAAGCCCGTCTGGCTAACTTTCGGTGCATCGCTGTCATCGGGCATCACCACCAGCTGGTGATCCTGCAGCGTCGGTGGCAACTCTCGCACACTCTCCTCCAGCTTCAGATGCTCGCTAACCGCACGGATCACACGCCTCAGACTCTCGGCATAGGCTCGAGCCTCACAGCCCGGCTCAGCAGCTCGCCGACGCTCTATTTGGATGCCCAAAAGGACGGCGGACAGGGCTTTCTCGTACAGCGGCACCAGACGCAGTTGCTCCTCATGCAGACGCATCTGCTTCAAGAGAAATCCCAACCAACTGGAGGGGGCATCGCCCGAGAAGAGCATCACATCGCCCTCCAGACTGATGCCCGTGTAGGGGGCAAAGACCACAAATCGATTGCCCAGGATACGTAGCTGCGATGCCACCGCTGAGTCCTTTGTAACCAGATCATTCAGAATCTGAAGACAATCATGATATCGCTCCATATTGCAGCCGCAGTCATAGCGTGTGCCGCGGATGCCAAGGTTTTGGATCAGGGAGCGTTCCAGGGCATCGATTTTGGCCCGAATGGCTGTGGCCTCGGCGGCCTGGGCCCGGGCCAGGGCCTGACGCATCCAGGTATCCAAAGAGTGGTCCTCCTTTTTGGGTGGATCCTTTAGAAGCTCCGTCAAGGTGTTATCCAGGTTATTCGTTTGGCTAACCTTCCGTTGAGGAGGTCGCACACGTTCCCTTTCTGGCTTCATGTGCTCCTGCCACCGCAGGACCTTCTCCAGCTCCTTCACGGCCTTTTTATCCTTCATAACCGGCTTTCTGGCTAGCTCTTGCTCCCACTCTTGCTCCTCATTCTCCAGCTGTCTCTCCTGCTCCTGCTTCTCCTGCCTCTCCTGTTCCTGATCCTTGGGCAGCAGCTTGCACGACCGGAGTATGCCCCTGATCACGGCCTTGGGATCCATTAGACTCCGGTCCACCTGCACACGAACCAGGTGACCACCACCTAACGTTGACCCCTCTTCGTCCGGCACGGAGTACATGTAGAACTTTAGCATTCCATCGGCTGGCAGGGAACTATCGACAGACTGTCCACTCAGGGATTCCAAATGGGAACTCAGCTGACGCAACGACTTCTCGTTCACACGCATCTCCTCCGGCGGCGTCCGATCGGCCAGTTGAGGATTCGGCCTAATGGCCAGATAGATGGGACGCAGGGCGGCCACCAGGTCGCTGCTCAGCATTCGGACGCAGCGGGAGCAGGTGGCGACGAGGAAGCGGCCAGGATGTCGCATAAGGATGCTCAGTGAGGCCATCATCGGCTGCGCTGCCAGATCGTTTTAATTTTGGAAAATTTTCAAAAATTTGCTCGCTTGCTTGCGTCTTATTAGGCGCTGACAAATTATACTATGAATTTTGAGGCGTCAATGACACAAAAATATACAAAAGGAACAAAAAAAAAATAGAAACGAACGAGCAATCAAAGATCAAAACAACGTGTAAAAACGAAGGAAATTATAGAGAAACGACAGGTGAAAAAGGCAGGCATCAGAGTGAAGCTAATAATAAAAATAACGAGTATGAAAGCAAATTGACGAGTAAAAACAACGAGAATGAGGGCGAAATGTCGAGTAAAAGCAACCAGATTGAAGTAAAACGACGAGTAAAAACAACGAGAATGGGAATGAAACGACTAATAAAGACTGCCGAAAAGGCGAGTAAATAAGTGAATAATAAAAATAACAATGAATGAAACCAAATTGACGAGTAAAAACAACGAGATTGAGGGCGATTGAGAAAAAACAATGATCAGAAATTAATAAAAGGAGAACAAAGAACTGGTTAAAGACGATGAGAGTACCAAAAAATCTACAATTAAAAACGGGAGAAAAAAAGCAACGAAAATAAGACCGCAGCGACTATTAAAAACAACAAGAATGATATCGAAACAACGAGCTAAGACGACGAGTACTACAAGTACATGTCGATGCTAATCAAGAATATCTATAAAGCGTTTTCTGAAATTATAATACACTCTACAAATGAATAATAGGTAGGTAGATTGTTTCAAAAACAAGAAACTCCGATAATAATTGAGTTTTCCCCAAGTTTTTCGTCTCATCTCAGGCTTCTCCTATATATTTAATCCCTGGGGTATCTAGTGTCCATAAATTAGTTCACTTATAACCCCTCCTTGGGGTTTTTTGCCCCCGACGAGGAGTTTGCTCTCGGAAACGAGATCGTTGCCCCTTTATATATATATATTTTTTATTTTGGGGACAAGCTGTACAAGCGAGGTCAAGGCAAAGCGGGTTCAGTGCACAGGGTCAACTGCGTCCTCATGCCGCAGCTTTTCCCCGGGAGAAAAGTGCGTGAGTTTAGGCTCCTTAAATGTTGATTACGGTTTTTTTTTGTTTTTTTTTTGTGGAAAGTTTTTGCTACTCATTTTTCGCCGAACAGGAGCAGATGTTGCGTTTTTCGCTCTTTATGCCAGGGGAAAGAGCAGCGCGAACTCTTCGTTGCTCTGTATCTTTGTATCTGTATCTCTTAGTGTGCCGGCTGACCGGCTTTGTCTGTACGTATATATGATTGTGTGTATCTCGTCCTGCTCGGGAACCTGCCCCTCGACCGTCTGTGTCTGTGTGTATAGGGGCGCCCCTGTGCACGAGAGCGTACGTATACGTACTTCAACCACAAGCCCCGCATCCCTAAGCGTGCGTATCCGTATCTGCGTATCTTTGTATCTCCGTATCTGTATCTGCCACCACCGCATTCCCCCTCTATACTTATATATTTTATAGCAATTCGATTTATGTGTGGGTTATGCGTTTGGTGTCCTTTTAACGTGCTATTAAAGGTCCTTGCACAACTAAATACCAAAGCTCTATCGCCCGTGAAGCAATTATTCTTGGAACTATTTATTTTGTAAGCTTTAAAATTGAAGTTTTAGTTACAATATTTAAACTTTAATAATTTAAATACAGCTTCTATGTTATTTACTAATTCATTTATCTATCCAATCTCCCGTTCAGTGCTCATAAAACAATTAATTTCTATTAAAAATTTACCTTGTGCCCAGTGCAAGTAAGTTTTCCTCCTGCTCCTCCCCCTTGAAGGCGCCAAAGTTATAAAGAAAATTCCAGTCAGGAAAGTTCAAAGTTCGCGTTATGGGGATAACATTTTGTGTGAAGTTTCTTTGGTCGCTAATGCCACTCAATTATGTTCAAGTTACTCAAAGATTTCAGTTTAGGGAAGTGCGAGTTTCAAACTTTGGCAGAGAAAATACTTAAATCACAACAACAAGAAAACAAACACAAAAAATGGCTAAGAGTAAGAGAAAACAAACAGGAGGAAAGTAGTAGTAGAATCGAGAAGAAAATTGAGACAAGTCTGCATAGAACCTCTGTTGCACACCTGCCTCTTCTTGTATGTCTCTACTGTGATTGCTTTTCCTTAGTTTTTCCCTTTACCTTTTGCCTCTTTTTCTCAAACAGTTTAATATAAAAGGATCTGAGAAAAACATATGCATAAAAAATGGTACTAACTGAAACCTTAAGATTGGGAAAGATTCCTCACATATCTATTATATTTTAAGTTGAAACTACTGAAGTTAGGTCACTTTTTAAATAAACAAAAAAGAGCTGCTTACCAACGAATGAACAAGTTCCTTGTTCTTTTTAATTCACTTCTTAAATTTTGTTTACTAAAGTTAGTGCAATTTTTAAATAATCAATACTTTAAATGAAGAAGAATAAGAATAGTAAACAAGTGAATACTTCAGTAAACAATGAACAAGGCAACAGTATGAATGAATTGAATTTTTTGAATAGAATGAACAAATGAACATGTTCATTACAGTGAGTGATATTTAACCAACACGTATTGCATTTGTTTTCCATTGCTGTTATTGTAGTTTCAACCTTTTTTGTGGCTTTAAGATTTAACTAGAAAAAATAATTCAATTTTTATCCTATATTCCTTTCCGTTTGCTTTTCGCAAGTAAGTATACAGGCACACGCATGTCCCATGTCCTGTGTCCTGGCTAGTGGGCGTGTCACTGATAAGGCGCTAGCCCAGTTCCTTTAACAGTCCCAGGGGAAAAGTTGAGGTTTCAAACGGATGAATGATGATGCCTGTATGACGATAAGAAAACACACAAGCAATCCGAGCCTGAAGGGACCAAAAATACAAAAAAAGGAAACATTATGGTCAGCCATATGGTGAAAAGTGGGAAAGGAAAACGATGGGAGCTCCGTTTTATCGCAGTTTTCCGGAAGTCGAATTTTTTTTTTAATATTAGCCATTAACAATAAATTCATGATCATAAAATTCCTATGGTTTTGTTTTTAAATATCTTATATTTTGCAATGAAAATGACTCGTTTTATCACGTATTAGCTTTTTTTGATATTCGATATTTAAAAAAAAATCTAGAAATTAAAGTTTGGGATATGTTTTCAATATGATATTAAGTGCGTCTTTTCCTACCGATATCAAACCAGGTTGAAACCATGTGGACAACATTTAAATTACGTGAGCTTTTTCAAGGATTTCCCCATGAATTAGACGAAAGATCCCCATGGAGAGTAACCTCCCCAAAGGCAAAGGAAAATAATTAGAGGGCTTTTGCCATTGTAACCTCCACAACCCCAATTGTTTACACTTCCCAAATACCAAATTCCGGCTCCAGCACATCACTTGGTATGTGGGATATGTGCTGCTCCGACCGCCAGACGGATAAGTAAACAAATTCAGCTTTATCTTCAATAAGAACAAGGAAAACAGAGAGTTCCCCCGTTGAGGTTCGCTTTGATATTTAACAATCTTTGAACAGCTGAAAGATGAGAACAAAAAAACACCAGCCTCGCATTGGATACACACACACACACACACTTACTAACCTACTCACCCATTCCCCTTCCCTTCTGCCCATTCGAATGTAATGTTTGCAGACAAAGGCCAACAAGTTGCCATGGGAGTTGCCACCAAAAATCTTTCCTTCGCACTCACAGCGGCAACCAAACAACAACAACAACAAAGAGGAGAGGAAAACGAGAGCAACAACAGAGCAACAGAGAAGCGCAACAAGGAGCCAAAGAAATGGCTATAAAAACAACAGTAATGGGGGGGCACCAAGCGGCAGCAAAAGGAGTACAGTGGAGACTGTCGCCTATGGAAAATAAATAATAACTTTTAATACATTAATAACTGGCTCAGATTAAAAGATATCAGCTTAATAATTTAATTTAATTTTAATTTTGAATAAGAATTATGAGGATCAAACAACTTATTCTATGGCTTTTATGGAATATATAGGGTTAGATTCTTTGGGGTAGACTCCACTGTAGGCGAAAACGTTCAGCAGAATGCAGAAAGGAGCAAGGAGAAGGAAGCAAAGAACAAGCTGCCAAAAAAATAGAAATAAAACGGTAACAAGTCGGGAGTAAAGGAAAACAAGTGAAGGAGAAGCAGAACTCTCACATACACACACATACATATGTATATGCGACTAGGCTAATCCCAATAATCTTTTAGTTTTCACAAAGATAACGGAACTAACCTCCCCCCTTTATGGAGCTGATTGATTCCACGAATATGGAAAATGGGGGAGTGGACAGTATGTAGTATGCAAACTAGGCACAAAACGAACTGATATAAGACACACACTCGCACACACTATAGGGATGGCAAATCGGGATAAAAGGGGATGCACAAGGAGTGCACACACACACACACACACGCTGGCAAAGACAGGCTGCCTGACATTTCTCCTGCTGCTGCTCTTCTTCTTCACGTAATTCGCTTTACTTTCCTTCTTTTCGGCTCTTTTCCTCCTCCTCCAAGGCCTCGGTTCTACTCCTTGTTTCTTGTTGTTGTATATAAAATAGATGAAAATTAATTTGACGTGTCTTGAATTCTGTTTTAGGTTTAAAGAACTCGTTTTACAAAAGATAAAAAGACGAGCATGCTGGCAAAAGGGAAGGAAGAGGAGCACAGGCTAGCCATGCAAGAAGGAGTAGGAGGTGGCACAGGAATGGAAATAAACTCGAATTGTGTACACGCAAGCCAAAAAGAAGTGTAGAAAGAGTGTGGAGAAAAACCTACATAATGCTGTAAATTCTGTAAAACAAACACACACACAACGAATGAGAAGCCTGAACTTATCGAATTTGTCGCTACCATCAGAGTTTAAGGGTGGCAATAATTACATCAATCTTTTTACCATTTCAATTTCAAAACAAATCGAGCCACTCGACCAACAACAAAAACAACAACAGCAACAAGCGCGGTTTGGAGAGCGCGAGAAGAGAAGAGAAGACGACCCCCCAGGGCAACAAAAAAAAAAACAGAGGAGAAGAACAACAACACACCACAAAGGAGGGGACAGAAAGCGGCAGAAGGAGAGGAGGTGGAAGCCAACAACTGAAGCGAACGGAACAAGCAAAGAAATGGGGCGAGAACCGAATGAATGGTAAACTGCACGAAAGGAAAAAGAGGCCCATGGAATAAATATGTATGTATTTAAAACGGATTTGTCGCCTGCTTCCTAAATAAAACAATGAAAACATGCATCTATAAATCGAAATCTGGGAATCTGAAATCTGGATCATTAAATCTGCATAAGATCCATGCCAAGATGTTTCTGTAAATTTGAAATTTAAACTAGATGCATATCTAGGATGGATTTAATTAATTCCTGGAATCCTAGATATTCGTATTAAAAACCCCCAAATAGGTAAAGGAAATTAAAGTTTGGAATGAATTTATACATTCAAAACAAAACCAAGTACAAGTCATGGAAATCCTATTTAAGTTTATATATTTTTGCATTAATACTTAAAATGTTAAAGAGTTAAAAAGTATCTTTACTTGGTTTAACTTGAAAAAGAAATACTATAGAAACTTAATGTTTCTAGTAGATCCTTCAAAAAACATTT